GGAATGGCCGAAGAACTCCACGTCGGCACCCATGGAATGTATAGGATAAAATTGCCTTAGTTGATCGTGTGGATCGACAACTTCCATGGTGTCCCGCAGTTGCAAAAGCTCTCCAGCCTTACTGGGCATAGCTGTTAGCCAGAAAACATTTCTATGCAAGAGATGTATCCCCATTCTTCTTTCCTTGAAGATTGTGCCTGACCAAAGCCCTGTTATATCAAAATAGGCGATAGGAGAGTCAAAAAACAGTCTGATAAGTATTCTAGAAAATCAAAAACAGTGGATGAGCCCACGTGGGTAGTGACCCTTCGACTTTGGATCCATTGGATCGGGGTACTCTTTGAAGTCAATGCACGTGTCGTCCATCCACAATTGAGCCGCTTTTTTGAAGACGTTTTTGGCCTTTTCACCTGAACATATTGCAGGTGAATTTGGTGACTTTTCGAATGCATGCATAAAAGGTGATGGCAACTAACTCAAGTATGTAACGTAAGGAACCCCCTTTGACCATCTGTGACCTGGGTAGTCCTTGTCATGGTACGCCTGTCGTTTAGAACGGGCCCCGCTTATATCTGCGGTAATTTGATCTTGTTGCTCCCTCAAAACGATGCTAATTTTTGCAATAAATTATCAAAAAAATATTGAATATACCTCGAAAGAATAATATCTCCTTGGAAGAGTTCGCCTGCATTTTCGCTTCTCATGTTAATTTCTGCTATTGAGTCTCCCCTTGGTTCCACCTTGTCAACAGTTCTTCTTTTAAACAACTAAACAACCAGTATTCCTTTTCCAAGTATTTTTTTCTGGCAAGTTGACGCACCTTTAGTCTTTCAAGAAACTCTTTCCGATGCTCTGGTGTCAAAGTAAGCTTCTTCAATATTCTTTCTTTGTATCTGCTCAACCTTTCACGAAATGTGGCCATGTTGCTGTAGAAAGCCTGTGGATGTTCATAACTAACCAGTGAGTCATCTTATGCGACTTCCAAACATCTTCATATCTACCTCCTTCATGCGTTCCATTAATTTTTTCATTTTAAAGGTCATCTGCTCGTTAATGAGACCTTTGAAGTTTTTGACGAACATAGACGGTTTGTAGTCGAGGAGGTCAGCGCTCACATATAGAGCCACAAATAGAATGAGCACGAGAATCTTCATTCTGCAATGTAGAGCTGAAAGATTTTCATTAATGATAGGACGATCACAAAATCATAAGTGGAAGAAATGGTAGAGCTCGTGAATGCGGCTTCTTCTTTCTCCTCATATTTATATGACAATACCGTACTTTGTGATTGACAAAGCTGTGACGTTCCCAATATCAGGAAGTGTGCACAGGCGATGTGAAACATGTGGTTTCAGGTGCTGTTACAGCACAGCATTTGATACATGAACGATTCTGTGGAGAATGTTCTTGATGTTGCATAGAATAATCCGGTGACTTTTGCAATAGTTGATCACCCAATGTAGCGATTGATCCTACCAGGTCCAGTAAGCTTGAATGGTTTCCACTACTGATTGAAAAGAATCAGGTTGTGGAGAATTTGATAACTGATGCAGAAATACTGATGTTTCTCTCAGATGGAATGCTGCTGTTAGCTGCATACAGAGCATGAGAGACCTATGAGTGGAAGGTAATCACTCGCTATTAATCGCGGTAAAGTTGGATAGCTCTGAGTGCTTGCTTGTTTGCAGCACGCTCTTCTCAAAAAGAGAAACGACAGAAATATCTTGCAGTGTAGCGATAAATAGGGATCTACCGTGAACTCTCGAAGAGATAATGTCTCAAACTGTTAAGGACACTAGTTACACTATACCACCGGACGAAGTTTTGATTTCCCTGCACAGATCTCTCCTTACAGACGTCAGGGACCTTTGAGAGAATTCTGTGATTTAAGTTGCTCCACACGGAGAACGGCTTCAGGCGAAGCATGTTGCGTCGGGATCATTTCCTCAGATCCTTTCAGATCGATTCAGCAGAGCTACAACAATGCAACCGAGGTCCTCCTATAGCTTATAATATAAGAAACGGGTAAGATGCAAGATGGATTGAACGCAAACAAGGCAGAGTCGTCTTGGGACTAAAGTCAACCGTCACGTTCAACCAGTGAACATTTTCACGATCCCTCGCTTCCCTAGGGGTCTCGCTACGACTCCCTTAAAGTAATTATGTACCTGCGTGGCTGTCATGTTTCCGTACAAAATTAATAAACGCTCATCATTGCGTCGCGGGTCTGACTTTGGAGCGTGCCAGCTCTCATGCGCAAAGTGAGAGAGGGGCAGTTGTGAATAACACCTCCGAAACAGGCATAACTCCTTTTGATATTGATAATTACAAAGTGGTATGCATATTTGAATTTTTCTAGCAGTCAACTTTGTATTTATACGCACCCGATTGTCATAGGCGCACCTTGAGTGCAGTAGTAAATAAATAATAAATAAATATTCAGGACCTACGTGACTTTCCCTTCAGGATACTGTCCATGATTCCCGTTTCTCATTTCTCCTGTAATGAAGTAGTAAGATGAAAATCTATCAAAGTGCGCACTTTTATTCTTTCAGAAGTTATACCATCCGTCATATGCGACGTTTAGAGATGTGGTAGGTAAACTTAGAACAGAAAATATTTTTGTTATCTCTCCTATGGGCAAAATTTTTTGGATCATTTGTCAAACCCTACTTCTGCGCCCTTTTCCGTGCGAGTCGAGCTTCTACCAAATATATCCTGCATCGGCTCTTAGAGGCCATTTAGGATACAGGATCATGGGGGAAACTAGATTATAGAGATTGCGAGCTTCCTGACGAGACTTTACCCGACCCTCAAAGTTCACTTCCCGCCAAAATTTGCCCGTTTGAACCTTCTTTTTCTTACGAGATTTCGAAGAACTTTTTTTAACGAGCGAGTGAACTTTCGAACTTTCGAAGCTCTAGCGATAATGACTTCCTTCAATGTTTCATCAGCAAAAAACAAGGTTTTGCTGGAATCTAGGTGGTTCGTAATTTCTGAAAAGCGCAGAGAGATTCTTCAGAATTACAAGATGGATTCATTAGAATTCTCGCTTAGAAACTTCTCTTCTGTGTACCTTCTTCTTTTGAGCATCAGAAAGCGAATTTTCCGTATCACTGCATTTCCTTGCTTTGAATTTCGTTTGGAAACCTCTGGATTCCTCCAGTGCCATCTTTTCACTCCTGCTCTGGGATGCGCCATGTGCGCGCCTGTGGTACGAAGTTGCTGTAGCTTTCGAAAATCTTCAGTGTTTTTCTAATAGTGAGCGGGCCATTCTGATCTTATGTTGAGATACTGTTGAAGCGTAGATCAGAAGATGCATAACTTCCTCCCTCTCTCGCGTTTTAACGCTCATTCATGAGTAACTGACCTGCATGCAGGGTCAGCCGCTGGTTCTCCATTTACAACTCATCTTTGTTTAGGTAGCGGCTAAGTAACTAGCCCCCTCGTTGATCGCAAAAGGACGACCCTGTTTGGGCTAGAGGTTCGCAAATTAGGAGAAGCGAGAACAAGGAAGCGCAACAATGGTGAAAAACGCGATGTTCAGAACAGCTTACTGCCTATAAAATTTCCAAAAGCTAACTAAGGCAAGCGTGGCCATTTCGAAGAAAGTGAGTCGGAAAGAATTGAGTCTGGCCGGGAAGCTGAATGGTCGAGACTCATCATATTCAATCACAACGGATCTGAATAAAACACCGCGTGATGGTGGGAGAAGTGCCTGGAATTTGTGAGGTCCCATCATCCAGTCCAAGTGTTTCTCTGTTCAATCGATCCGACGTAGGTTGACCAACAGCCCTAAAACATGTTTTTTTTTGTCCGAAATTTGAGAAGAAATACAATGGGCAACTGAAATATTGCTGCTTCCTTACGTTGTTCCTCAAAGTGGGGGCTTAGTATTGGTGGGCTTGCCGGTAATTGGCGTCTTGCTCGAATCGCTCATCTTCCGCTTAAACTGCTTTGCGGCTAGTGTTTAGATTATAAATCAACCTATTTATGGAGTTATATTTGGTGTCTAGGGTAAGCCGCTACAAAAATAACTCCTGAATTGTTAAGTAGCCTGAATTTACAAATGTATCATCAATCTATTATGTCTTTTCCAGAAAGCGATGTAGGTAGTTGACAAGTGGCACGCTTACCACGCGAGCGGTCCGGGGATCAAATCCTGGGTCGTGAGTCGCCCGGGCCAACCAAGCCTTCCATCCCTCCGGGGTCGGTTAATTGGTACCAGACTTGTCTGGGAGGATAAAAACACTGACTTGTACATCGGCTGGCCCCGCAAGTCATTGTATAGGCCACATCGCATTCAAACGCCACTACGAATGTACAAATGGAAGTAGAATGCGTGCCGCATCCCAAAAAGGGATTGATCAACGGCAAATGCTTTATCCTTTTTATCCTTAGTTTTACTGCAAAAGGAGATTTGTGGCATTTCTGGCCATAGTTTCTTCTAAGGGTCGTTTTTTGTTGCGACTATAAAACAAGCTCATTTTATTACTATTTCTCACACTGCCATCGTATTTGAATAACTTCTGGCTTTTTGTTTTCGAAGTTCTGAGTCGAGGATTCGACTTCCTAGGATCACCTGTATCACCTGTCGTCCCGTTGATCATCGAATTGCTCGAGCGGGCGCCAGCAACGTCTCCATTCGTCCCTGTCGCGTGCAAGAGTTGTCCAGTGGACCCTCCTCGCTCGAGGGACACGAAGTCCTTCATTCCTTTCGTTCAGAGCTTTCGTGAAGAAGTCTGACCATCGGGCCGGCGGTCGTCCTCTGGTCCAACGGTCATCGCAAAATCGCATGACGTGTCCGGCCCACCTTATCTTCGATTCCTTGGCGAAAACGGCAGCGTCCCTGATCTTCGATCGTTGGCGTAGTTCGGAACTCCGGATTCCCCTCTGCACTTGCGTGTATAGGGTTACTCCTAGCATCGTCCTCTCGACAGCGCGTTGGATAACGCTGACCGCATGCTCGTCCTGCCTGCGCAGAGTCCAAGTCTCTGAGGCGTAGGTTAGGGCTAAAAAAACATCGTATAATAAGTGCACGACCAGCGCAGCGTAATATACCTAGAGCTTAAGATCAAAAATTCGCAGGCGAAAGGTTGATGAAATTGACAGATGGCACTGCAGCGACTTGGGCACAAACACGCATCAGAACCGTCGTTAGAAATGTCGTCGCAGCTCTTATAAACCGAATATGACCGATTTTTGGAACACTTTCATTCTCGAATCGAAGTGGATCCTTTCAGCAGAAGTAAACGGCTTTCTCAATGTAAAACCAGGTGTACACAGTACAGCTCCAATTTCTGTCTAGCACTCCGATGTATTGCACCGGGAACAGCAAGGCCTTCAGCTGAAAAGGATGTTGGTAATGTTGACGCTCACCGACGTATTTTGACCTGACTGAATATGTTGGATTTGAGCTGTGAAATGTCGCTTCGAAGCTGGAGGTCAAAAACCCGTATTATTTTCCGGAGAGCCTAATATTTTCAAGGAGGCTGAAAGCTGTGACCACTCATTTGAGGATGCGAACTGTTACTCCCACCAAACATTGCTGTGGTGAAATTTCATTCTTTTTCCTTTTTTTCCTTTTGTCATTCTTTATAATATCTAACATGTATCGAGTGCGGCGTCATAACAGCAGCTGAAATGGTTTTTTTATCCAATCATCTGTGTCTGCTTTTCGGTGACGAATGTATTCGCGTTATGTCAACGCCAAGTGCAGAAAACCATTTTTCAATATCGGAGGCAGTGATTTCATCTTGGGCTCCAATATTGGTCCGTTTGTTGAAGAATCATGACAACTATGCAAATTTTCGGCTCTACAGGGCAGAATGGATTTTTTTTGCTCTACATCCGGTAGTGTGCGTCACTAATGGCTCACTCATTCTGGAGCATTCTGTCCTTCTCTGAAGTTTCAATGGATTCATCAGAGGACAAGCTGAGAAAGTTTACGAACAGCATGAGGGAGGAGAATACTTCTTGAAATGCTACATAGGATGATCAGAACACCAAACGTCTGTGCACCTCCACTCGCAACACCGGCGCCTAATGTCCCGGCATCTGTGTTGGCGCAGTGTATATACTCTATTTATAAGAGAAAAGCGGCTTCTTTTCTTAGCCGTCGTCCCTTATGGTGTGTGATCCGCACTCAATTTTC